GAAGATGCAGCTCAGAATAGCCTTGCTAGGGGTGGGGGCGAGTGATCCTTGACTTTTTGAGAAGTGAATCCCGAGCTTCTTCCGAGTACATGCGCCACTTGATTGTGCAGAAAAAGGAGGCTTGCGAACCCAAAACCCAAAACCCTAAAACCCACAGCCCAAAACCCCTAAAACCCTAAACCCAAAACCCTAAAACCCTAAAAGCGGATAGCTAGCCCCTGAAACTGCCACGAACCGCCCGGCCAAACTGGGCCGATGTTGATCTGCCAAAGTGTTGGGATAGTGGTACTTTTAGGGTCTAGGGTTTAGGGTTGACTGCTTAAGCCTGCATGGTTAAAAGCCATGCAGCAACTTCTGCGCATCATTTACATAACTCTTGCGGCCTCTGTGTCTGCAGGGTGATGAGTCTCCTGGTCTAATACCTCCCTGTGACAATCTTCGTAGTGTCGTCTTCAAAACGCCCGAAAACGATCCAATTCCGTCGGACAAGGAGCCTCCACGCAAAAGAAGAACAAGACGACTGTGTTTGCTATCGCCAGCGACTGCGTATGCTCCGTGCTGAGCCCGAATACCAACAGTATGTCTGGAGCAAAGAGTGTGTACATGGTGAGGACAGCAAAGGTAATGGCGAAGATATCGGAGTGCACCATGACATTGGTGAGGTTGAGGCACACCCATCGGCCATACCTGCCACCTAAGTCACAGACTCACAATTACGCACGTTGCAGCATGGCCAGTGGCAGGAGCGACAAACCCCAGGCTTTACCGGTGGCAAGTTTCGCAATACAGCCAAGCTGCGCTTGTGACTTGTCAAACTGAGGCAGTCCTGACAAAGCACGCAGCAGGTCAGCATAGAAGCTGTTCATAAAAAAAAGAGAAAGAGAGCCCATCTGCCATGCACAGCCGGATGGAGCGTAGCAACTAAACCCCTTTTTTTAAGCACGGACTTGCAGTGTATGCCGGCAACTAAACCCCTAATTAAACCCTTTTGCATCCGGTCTGCAACCCTAAACCCCTAAACCCTAAACCCCTAAAAACCCTAAAGTAATGCCATAGTCCTTGGTTTTGATCGTCTCATCCAACTCGAAGGCTTGGAAGAGGCATCGCATGAGCTTGCGGAGATCCCGCAGCCGCTGCCTAGCTTCATGCACTTGAAAACTATAAGACATGACGGACGTGCAATACAATAAAATATAGTATTTAATAATACCATATAATACAATCGTATAAAGAGTATTATAATATAGTACATTATAGTAGAATAGAATAGAATAGAAATTAGAATAGAATAGAAGAATAGAAGAGTAGAATAGAATAGAATAGAATAGAATAGAATAGAATAGAATAGAAAAGAGTATCATAAAATAGCATATCATACAGTATCATGTAATAAAATGTAATATGGTATGAAACAATATCACACCATGTCATATCATATAATATCGTGCATATTTTCCAAAGTATAACATATTGAAAATGATACAATATCATATGCTATCAAATAATATCATACAATATCGTATAACAAAATAGCGTAATATTAAAATAAGACCATACCATATCATATTCTGAATTATATCATATTATATGATATATTGAAGTACAATATAGTATAGCAAAAAAGGGCATAATGTAATATCATATAATGCAATGTAATCTAATATCATAAAGTAATGTAACGTGATGTGATACAATATAACTTAGCATGTTATAATATATGTGTATGTATATAGATATGATATAACATAAAAAGCATATAAATCAAATTCCAACGCCGCAAGAGCTGTGAAGAGCGTTTCCTGAGCTTAAACGCCTATGATTGAAAGATCCGAAGCAGCTCCGGAGCATGCTTGGGTTGGACCCTACAACCGATGTGTCGTGGCAAGCGTAAATTCCGTCTCTCAAACCACTCATGCAGCGACAGTCCGCTCCGACACCGATCGCTACGCATCCGGAGCTGCTTGAAAGGGCACTCACCGATATCAACGGGAAAAGCCCTGCTATCTGCCGAAGAGCTGATTGTTCTGATCGCACCAGTCCAGGGTATCAACCTGCAATGCTCCGGACACGCGTCAAAAGCCTCTCCATGCACCCCTCGGTATACAAACAAAAGTGAGGTCAGCCGAAGTTGCACCTCACGCCTGACACACACCTCTGTAGGGTGAACTCGCCAAGACCTCCGGGTCTACAGTACAGATCTCAAGCCTCACACATGTTTTCCCACATCACTGTTTCTTACTCTGCGCTGGCCCTTTGACCCCGTGGACTTGACAAGCTCTCTTAATGTCCAACAGAGGATAACAGAGGCATTTATCAGAGATCCTGTAGCCTACCCATCCACAGCATCCTGATCCATATATCATACTAGAACGGATCAGTTGAGACTAGACTCACTAGACTAGACTATTAGACTAGACGGGTAGACTATACGTAGACGACTAGGCTAGACTGTGCTACACTGCGCTTACACAGTACTTCACTCTGCTCGGCAATGCTAAGCTGTCCTTTGCTTCACTATACTTCATCTTGCTACACTATAAACCGCTACACTACACTAGGCTACATCTTGATATACTATGCTATGCTAAGCTGTGCTATACTACACTACACTACACTACACTACACTAGGTACACTACTCATCTTGATAAACTGTGCTATACTATACCGTACTATACTATACCACACTACGCTAGGCTACACTACACATCTTGAATACTCTGCTATACTATACTGTGCCATACTATACTACACTAATCTAAACCCTAAACTCTAGGCTACACGACACTGTAGTGCAGATAGTGCCCTAATCCTTGCCGGGCACACCTCGGTGTTCTCCCCATCTCCTGGTTTCATCTCAGTGGGGGCCTCCGACACAACCTCGGCGGGTCTTCTCTCTTCATAGTATAGTACATATACACACACACACATATATATATATGTATATATATATGTATATATGTATATGTATATGTATATGTATATATATATATGTGTATATATATGTATACACAGAAGTAAAGGCATATAAATAAATACCCAAATAAGAATAAACAAACAAATATATGTATCATTTGTATTACAGATATGCTATGTAATTTTTCATGTGGATACATATATACATATATACAGGGAAAAAGAGAGAGGCATAATAACAGTTGTATATACACACACACGCACATATATATATATATAAATATATATACATACACATACATATATATATATATGTGCTTAGTCAGTTTCAACCTGGCAAAGCAGCTAGATGGACAGATGCACAGTGGCCCCAAGGGAAATTGAGGGTTTCAATGCATTCGGATGTAGGACTTTCCTGTAGCACTCGAAGGGATGCTTGGCATCGAGGGCTTCCGAGAGGTTTAGGTGTGAGGTTGTCGCGGAACGCGGGCTCTCGAGCAGCGGAAAGCCATGCTGAATGCTGGATGCAGCTGCAGGCTGCGCACTCAACTCCAGAAGATTCAGAGGATAATCAGTCGAGTCAAATCTGAAGACTTTGCCGCAGGCAAACCTTACAGTAAAGCCGTTTTTGGATGTGCAACCCGGGATTGGACAAAACTGACAACACCCTGCCAAAAAAGGTCCTAGGGAACATACCCGCACATACCCCTAAAATCCCATAAACTGATCCTAAGTTTTGTTTTCCAAGCCTTTTACCTAAGCCCTCAACCCGAAAGCCTAAACCCCAACCCCCTAAAGCCCTAAACCCCAAACCCCTAAACCTCTAAACCCTATAACCCCTTAAAGCCATCTAAACCCTAAAGCCCTATAAGCCCTATAAGCCCTGCTTTCGTCAGCCCTAAACCCTAAACCCTTCTTTGGAGCCCTTATATATATATATACACATACATATACATATATATATATCCCTTTAAAGGAACCTTTTGGAGCCCCTCTGTCCCTGCTTTCGTCCGGCGGCTCGGACCCGGAGCCCTCCCACATCCGCCAAAGCGTTGGCGCACTCGTTGTTGATGAGGTCCCCGGCCACCTTCCCGGGAGGGGCGGAACATACCCAGAAGACCGTTCAGGGCTTTTAGGGCTTTTAGGGGTTTAGGGGTTTAGGGTTTAGGGTTGACACAAACAGCCCTTAAGGAGGTACCAAAACCATTTAGAGGGATCCTCTACCATGGCAAAAAGCCCTTAACCTAAGGATGTACCTAAAACTATAGCCTCTATATGGTTTCAGGCTTTTGGGTACATGCCGTAATTGTTTTGCAACCTGCATTGCTGAACGAGTCGCTGGGGTGGGTGGGTAATGTCTCAACAGTAAGTTCTCACGCATCAGCCAGAACTGCCACGAGCCCTTCAAGGGTAAGTAACATACAGCATGATTATCAAGCCGCTGCTGCACCCGCATCTTCCTGGCAGAAACGCCATTTCATCACTACACTGAATTCTCGATTAGCTGCATTGCGCGAATTATCTACTTTCAATTCTCACGTGGATGAGCAAACTAATTGCATTATCATGTTTTTTTCAGAGGCAGTCAAGCTCACAGGGCGATACAGAGCTTTCAGTAACACCCTTCAGCGGCAAGCCACTTATTCCAGGGCACACTCTGCAATTATACCCACAAGCCCTACAATAATCCCAAATCCTCGAAGAACCCGACGACATCTGATTATAGGGCTTCGGGTTCTCTTAAAGACGAGGGCTCTCCCTGTGCAGGAACGCCACGGAAGTCATAACTACGGGCCGACCCGGCATAATCCGAATAAAGCGGGGCCTGAACTGAATCACAGACATTCTATGGGACCCTCTCCCTCCCCAAGTGCTCCCCTCCCGCCAGTGGGAAGGAAGCGATGCTCAAGGAATCCGTGGACACACAGTTCTGCAGCAGCGTCCTTCCAGCATATTGGCCAACGAAAGAGCATGGGCAATGCCTGCCTGCCAGCCGCCCCATGTTCGTGCCAGCATTCCCGGCTTGCCGCGACAAGGACTTGACTGACATAACTACTATTGAAGGTGGTGTAGAGGTAGATATGCAGCTAGAGAGAAGAAGCGGCATACAGCATGACATTGTATGTCGGATGTGCCTATACGCCTACACGAATGCGTACATACTTTCGTACATACGTACCTTCATACATTCGTTCATACATACACGCATGTGTATATATTCAATGCATTCTGCATATACAACGTATCATATGCATTGTACTAAAACAACAAATACATAAATAAATAAACATATATATATATATACACATACTATACAAAACCTGTCTGTGTATGTATGTATGTATGTATGTATGTATGTCTGCCTGCCTGCCTGTCTGTCTGTCTATCTGTCTGCCTGTCAGTGTGATGTATGTATGTATGCATGCATGCATGTATGTATGTATGTCTGTATGTGCGTATGTGCGTATGTATGTATGTACGCACGTATGTATGTATGTCTGTGTGTGTGTATGTGTATACACATACCAACAGACAGGCACAAAAAGGTCGTCATGGGCAACAAGACAGCAAGAAGTTGCAACTATATATAGCGAGAGAGAAGAGAGGACGGTACATAGGCAGATGACCATTAAGCACTGTAGTATATTGAACTTTTGAACGTTAGGATGTACCGTCGAATGAATACAATGATGCAGACTTGACGTTGGGTTTGGCTCCGACTGAGTGTGCCTGTGCTTCTGGTATGGCAATGATTTGGCTGCAGCCGCCTCGCACTAGGCACAACCCAAATCCCGCATGCCGGTAATTCCCTGCACTTAAGTTGAAGAGGGGCAAGCCTATCATGTTCTGCCGGAGACCTCTTCTGTACAGCGCTGCCTCTTTGACTAAAACCCAAAGCCCTCTCCTGCGATAGGCCCGGCCCTGCAGAAGCGGGTGGCACTCCATGGCACGCCGGCAGTGGCGGGCCCACCAAGCACGGGCCTGCCAGGGTGTGCTGTCCAAGACTTCAGCTTGCAAGCATCGGGGCTGTAATATAGAAGCCCTTAATAATTACCTATACTATTTTGGGGGTTCCTTATTATAAATTATAAATATAGTATAAAGGGGACCAAAACTCTATTCTAATTATCAAGGCCCCTACATTACTGGGCCGCTGCCACACTAAAGGTGCTAGCTCGCACTGCCGGAACATCCGTTTCACTGGGACTCGCTTGAAATGTCGTGTCGGCATCCATGGACTGAAACGACTTGACCTGAAGTCCCGAGCCTCGTTGCACGAGAAGGGCTTCGTCTGAATATGACTGCAAATCCTCGTCGCAACGAGCCCAGGCAAGAAACCCAGCCTCAAGCCCTCAAGCCACCTATCAATCTCGCAGTAGCAAAAGAAAGAATCGAAATCTTTGTCTCGGGTTGCAGGTGCCAAACGGGATGGACATTTCACGAGGCAAGTTGGTGGTATAAGGCTTACAGGGCAAAAGAATGCAAAAGACATGCTCAGACACCAGTGCCTGCGACCATCTTGAGCCTTCGGGTGCAACGGGATCCCAAGTGTTTCCCAATTGCAAAAACACCACCCGGAAGAAGCCACAACTGCTCTGATCCAAGCGTCTTGTTGATGAGATTGCCGGATCCTTCAGCATCAGCAGCGACAAGTTCCGTGAGCGAGCAGCCTCGTGACAGCAGCATCATCGAACCCTTTTCCACAGGCTTGAACTGAGCTCGCCCGGCCCCCTAAACCCTAAACCCTAAGCCCTTTTTGCCGCAGGCTTCGTTCGCCCTAAGCCCTGAACCCTAGGCCCTAAACCCTATTCTAGATGCCCTCCAGGTTGGAGCATCGCAACCTACACAAGGAATTGATTGCTGCCAGGTTGCATCTACGGCTTAGGAAGGTTTAAGCCATCGGCTTGCAGTCAAGTAGCCTGGATATTGGCTTCATCATAACAAAAAGGAATATACCATAATTCCCATAGTTCAGGGTCCTTCAGGTAATGCAGGATCTATATTATCAACAATATCCCTTTTCCCTTAAGCCCTAAACCCTAAATAAACCCTAGACCCTAAACCCCAAAGCCCTAAACCCCCCCTAAACCCCAAAGCCCTAAACCCTAGACCCTAAACCCCAAAGCCCTGACTTCAGCTTGCGGCAGGGGCGCCGGGCTCAAGCTCTCCGCCCAGGGCCATGTCCAGCTCCTGGGTGCAGGATCGGTCGCGTAGTAGAGCAGTGGTAGGTTTAGGGCTTTAGGGTTTAGGGTATAGGGTTTAGGATTTAGGGTCGCAGAGTGGAGCAGTGGTAAAACAGAATAGTAGACTTTTTTGCTAGGAGTAGTAGTGTAATATTTAAATTTAATATGTAGCATTATAGCACTAGTCTCTAGTAGGCTTAGATGCTATAGTAGTAGTGCAATAGTAGAGCAGTAGTATCATAGCAGTAGTAGGCTTATCTACTATAGTAGTGGTGTAATGGAAGAGCAGTAGTATTATAGTATAGTAGACTTGTACACTATAGTAACTTATAGTAGTAGTGTGATACTATCTACATTGCAACAATGCCGGGAAGCATGATATCAGGGAAAGGCTCATCAAGTAGAGCCGTGCGGACGTACAGGCCGGCGTGCAGGCGGCACAGTGTGTATAAAATGCGTTCTCACGTTCCCAAACACATACCTGAGTCGTAGAAACTAATTAACAGCCATAGGTACACAGATGAACGGACATGTGTCTACCTTTTGTGCGATTACCGATCTACCTTTCTATCGATCGAGCGAGGCCTGCAACTCCCTGATTTCTACCCGTAAGGCCCGCAGCCAAAAGGCTCTCAGAAGTTCAATCGGCCAAAGAGCTGTGAGCTGCCCCCGACGGCATGGCACCAGGCGCCCGGTCAGCACGGCCAGGAGCTGGAATGTGGTGGTGGATGAAGACTGCTATCAACGTGTCCAAATGATAAAAATTACTGCCGTTGTTCTTGAGATCCTCACCGCCGTATTCAACATGAACACTTGGGTGCAGCTGATGGGTAACCTGCCCCTGCACTTGTGGGGAACGCCGTGACGCGTTGTGGGTCGACACAGGCTTCTAGCTTCTGACACGGGTTGTGTCGGCTTTCCTTGAAGGCTCCTAAGTAGTCATTCAAGTAGGGATAGAAAGAGGCTAAGTCTTACGGTTACAACTCTTCCTGGCCCCGGTTCAAGCACGTCTGGTATGGTAGTGATAGCTGTTACATGCTGTTCCAGCCAGCGTCGTAAGTCGCGTCGACTCGGGCGGCCAATCTCCCTGACTCAGGCTGTCTCAAACCCTGCACAACCCCTCACTCAAGCTCCGATCAAAGCTGAGGCTCCGATTCTACGAAGCTCTGGCCATTCTCCAGGTGCTCCAGCCTGTGTACAGTGGACACGTGTTTCTGTTTGTCGGTTCTAATGCTTCGGATCGACTCGCATACCTTGGAATGGCAAATACGCAACCAAGCCCATGGCTTCGTAAGCTGGCACACCTTGCACAGGAGCATTGCACCAACAATGTTTCAACGCCTTACGGAACCATACTTAGTCCCGAAGTCCGCATGCAAGGCTTCTGTGCCTTGTGGGAGCTGCATAGGTCTTCGAACCCACAACCCACAACAATGAAAATTATAGCAGGGTTGTAGGCAGGAAACAACGGCAATGTTGAATTCCATGCCGATTGCGCCAACAGCACCAAATAGCCAAAACAAGAAGGTCGCAAACATGGTATCCTGACCTTGATAGAAACAAGCCACTAAGGACCATAGTTTGGACTCGCCCTAAACCCCTAAACCCTAAACCCGTTTGGACTCCTGGTAGCCTCGGATCCCCAGAGCCGGCAGCCCTTTGCCCTGCCTTCCCGACTCATCCATGCCACCCTCGAGCACGGCGATGAAAGAGGAGAGCAGCACTTCGGGCAAGCCAGGGCCTTGCTGTCGTGCTGCAATATCAATGCTTAATACTAATTCTAACAAATATAGAAATGATATTATCATGATTTAAACAGAGGCCTCATGGAATCGTCCCCTGCCACCAAGCCATTTTAGTCGGGCCGCACTGACAGCTAGACTGCACTGCAGACTCTTGGAGACGGAAGGGGTTCCATGCTCTCAGATCTCGGCATGTCCGATGACGAGTTCGCGCTTTTGTGTTTTTGTTTTCCTTCGTCTTTTTTACCGGTTCGGGGCTTCAACAGTTTATCCCTCCGGTTCTCAGAGAACTACTCACGCAAACAGGCAAGGGCCTTCGTAGCCATGAAGGACCGGGAAGCCGACGGCCATGGTATGCACATGCCTCCCTGGGAGGTTCTGCAGTGCCTCGGGGCATTAGGGGTTTAGGGTTTGGGGTGTTTTTTTCTGCCTCCCACTTAGCTAGGACAAAGCAGTCATTGCAGGGGACATCAAGAACAACAGTGGCTGCAGCTTAGGTAGCCGTCATCGCGGTTTGGGGGTTTTGGGTTTAGGGCCTCGGAGCATTAGGGATTTAGGGTTTGGGGGTTTGCGGTTTAGGATCACAGGTTGTTGGCTTCTGGCGGACCACGGCTTTCCATCTGCAAAGCATGACTCGAACAAACCCGGCTCCGGTCTACACGCGTGCTGTCCGCAACAACGAGACAAGCCGAGCTCTGCAATGCACTCGCGAAGAGGCTACATTTGCAAATTTCGAGCGCTGCGTGCGATATTCGAGCATCGAGACCCGCAATATCCCCCAATCTATGGCTCGACATTCAGACTTTGTACCGATCCAGCGACGACTGCAGCAAGCCGCCGTTAGTTGAGAGACGAGGCTCCCGATCCAGGTAGTCCAACTGGCTCTCAGATGGCACTTCGCAGCAGAAGGGCCCGGCATTGCTAGCCTCTGACTGCCAGGCTGCTGCTGCTTTCGGGGGATTACATCGATTACAAAGTGACCATTACATGGAAGTGATCCGTCTGGAGTGCTATCCTACCATAAAGTGCTTGCCTGAATCTCCACAGAGTCGCCTTCTTTGCCACTGATAAGACGTCTATATCGGTATTGATACAGGTATATACACATGTATACAATCAATATATATATATATGTGTGTGTGTATGTACGTACGTACGTACGTACGTACGTACGTATGTATGTATGTATGTATGTATGTATACACATTATAGATATATATTTTTATGAGCTCGTTGCCTCCCTCCAGCTCTCATGGAGCCCCTCCATGCGGACGAAGGACTGAGCTCCTCGGAGTGGGGCCCAAACTCATCGGCGTCGTCGGCGCTGAAGGCATGGTGCACACGTCGCCTGTGACACACGAGGCTCAGGGCCTTCGAAGAATCGCCTTGTGAAGGGTTTTTTTTGCCCTCCTCCCACCTAGCTAGGAGTGAAGGGTTTGGAGTTTGGGGTTTAGGCTGTTTCCGACTCTCACACTCGCGCAAGGCCGGCAAGGCTCCACACAATCCGGTTTAGGGCTTCGGGTTTAGGGCCTTAAGGCCCCTCGAATCGCCCCAATGAGTCCCTTCGGTTCTTCCGATGGGCTCAGGGCTCAGTGCATGATTTCGGCGTCCGCCGCTCGCATCCGGAAAAATCAAACCTCCTTGGTCTGAAACGGCCCTTTAAAAAAACCCTGAGACCCTGCAAGTCTTCTCACCTATGAGGTCTTCAGGAATTGGACCTGAAAGTGGCGAGCCTGGCAGAAAGGAGATGTAGAGGGGCCGGAAAGCCGCGCCATGCAGCATCGCCGATGCTGAGAGATATGGGCTGGACTTCTCCTGATCAGGGCGTTGGGCCAGATTGAAGTTCATCATACTTACAAGTTTGCGAACATGATTTGACCTCCTGTCACCTCCCTTGCACACAGGAGTCACAGGTTGCAGGCAGTCTCAGCTTTGACGTAGACTTTGCAGCAAAACTCCAGGCCCCGAGTTGAGGAGACCCGAAGGCAACACCGAGGCCTCCAAGAGGCTGTGCAAGGCATCCGTGCTCTCCTCAGCACCGCATGCCAGGAGAATATCCTGACATGGCAGACGGTTTAAGGATTACAGTAGTCGGGTTTAGAAGGTTGCAGGGGCAGTCTCCCTAGGGCGTAGGGAGACAACATGAGACAACCCTAAAAGCCCTAGGCCTTGGCCAAATAATGCGGGGGTCCTGTGCTGGAAGCCATTGGATACAGCGGAAGCCTGCGAGCTGCACGAAGTTGGCATTGTCCTGCCCAGAATTTCTGGACTTTGAAGTAACCAGGTCTGGGACAGACCATGACCATACCGCGATCACAGCATTGCAAAAGGAGCTACGTCGGTTGAAATGATGTGGCAGGCACCCGTCCTGGCCCTCGTCCCCCGCCATCAGCGATTGGAACTCACCTTAGTGAGCCGGGGCTGCTGCGTCAAAGCACCCGCAGCACGACCCGGTCACTACCCCAACCGAAGATCGCACACTTCCCATCACGGCAAGGCCGAAAGAAGCAACCGACGTGGGGGTCCAAGAGCCTTAGGATTTCTCCTTAAGTGCCAGCAACCAGCCCCATGTCGCTTCGCACGCACTACGACCGCGCATGGAAAGTGGGCGGCATTGCTCGCAGCAGCAAGGATTCTAGTAACACTGCATACCTTAAATTCAAAATGACGGTTTACCTATAGTCTCCATTGTAGTTCCTTTTTGGGGGGTTACCTTTTAGGATCCTTGATATAGATTTGGTTAAGCCAACAAAAGGAACGACAATGGAGACTATAGGTACAGAACAACAAGGTCTGACCATGTCCTGTCGGGTGGCGTGCTGTCGCTGCGAAGCGCCCGCCAGGATCAGCCGTGAATCCTCCAAGGACAGCAGCATTAGGGTTTAGGGTTTAGGGTTTCACGACTCTTTCCGCAACTGAGGCTACTTATACTTATCATATACTAGACTGAAGAATCACGGTTCGCACGTAACCGTGACTGTGACGCTGTGGTGGACGACGCCGGCCCGGCGCGGATGTCGTACGACCGCGGCTCTGTCCATGAGCTCAGCACTACAATCACTGCAAGCTGACGCCACATGATGTACTTACACAGCACGCAAAATGATAACAATAGAGGGACCTTCAACATGGGATCAGATGTTGGAGTATGTCATACTCGAGCTATACAGAAATAATGAAGGATGATATTACAACATTCAAGTATTCAAACCCCAACACATAATAACAGGTTGTACACAACCCCACTCGTTGCAAGCCTAGGCGATCCTAGGAGCATTATAACATGTCAGCCTGAGAGAGACTGTCTATTGAGTGTGGAGAGAAAGCAGCTACCCCCATCGAATCCTTCACACGAATACAGTAAACCTCCCAAAACCCTTCCCCTAGCTCTCTCTCTCTCTCTCTCTCTGCGCCGTCCTCTGATAAAGTCTGCTTGGCCATCCGGATCTACCTGACAAGCTTCCGGGGGGTGGGCGAAAGGGACTCCCAGCCATGAATTTGTTAGCTCCGACGGCATTGTATTCTTTCGCATCTACTGCTTCGGATTGCTATCAACCGTTCTTATACCTTGCGTGTATGAACTATACAGGTGTACGCAGGTGCATGCGATTACCGGTTGCTGTATTGTGATATGTGCGTGTAAGTGAATATTTTTCTCATATTTTTGCACACAAAAATCCTAATTCAGACGCACTGGCATCGTGGCTGGCGACGCTCTAGACTCATAGCCGCATGATGAGGGGGAAACCTTTGACACTGTGGTAACGCTTTCTCTGTGAGTTGATTTTTGGCCTGCCGCGGTGGGGCGCGCTGAAGCTCCTCGTGGGGATATGTTCATATGTTCAGATGGCCGGCAAAAGCTTCACCGCCTAACAAGCCACATTGCGGGATTACCAACGACACCCAGAACAGCCCAAGCTAACCGGCTCGAAACTACAGTGCAGAGCAGGATGAGCACAACGATGATAGTTCTTGGCTGGCTCTTGACACCTAAAACACCGGATGCCAGAGTTTCAAAGCTGACTCTCCTCACGGGCGGCTGCAAGGACCAGGATCTCCGAAACCCGCGGGAAGAAGCGAGATATAGGCCTTGGGTGGTGTCGACCGACACTGGCTGGTATCTGCTGCTGGGGATCACTCAAATGCCAAAGCTGCCCTCCAAACACACCCCTCCCTGAAGCGTTGCAACCCCGAAGAAACATGCGATTCACGAGTTTAGCTTTGTTATCGCCTAGGGCCCAGGGTTTAGGACCGTTTAGGATTCGTTCGTTGAATTCGGGAGGGCCCCCAAAACCGGTCATGGCCGCCAGGACACACCGCTGGCCGGATAAAAGAGGTCGGTATGGCCGAACCCCATTCGGACAGATCCTGGCTGCAGGGCCCCCAATGCATTTACAGATGTATCTATCTATCTATCTATCTATCTATCTCTCTCTCTCTCTCTCTCTGTATGTATGTATGTACGTATGTATGCATGTACGTATGCATGCATACATGTATGCATGTACGCATGCATGCATGTATGCATGCATGCATGAATGAATGCATGTATATACACATACACATACACATACACATACACATACATATACATATACGTATACATATATAACATACTATTTATTAAATTGATTAACTGGTTTACTTATTTACCTATCTGTTTATTTATATTTATCTACCAATTATTTTTTATTTAAATATCTAATTTATAACTCATCAGACCATTTCTCACCCACCCTGCAAAAAAACACAGCATCATTCGCGCTTATTCTGTTCCCGTACATACCTTCTTGGCCCGCCATCCTTCGCAGCCCTCCGCTGCGATGCACTCAGGATTCCTCTTACATCGACTCGGCTAACTGAAGAGCCATTTTGAAGGGCCGTCTCGAAGCCTAGATCTTCTAAGATCGAATTATACATCGAGCCGCTGTCCAACAGCTGGAAGGCTTATTCCGGACAAGTCTCCGTACTAGTCATGTAAGCAGATCATGGCTTTTGATTGGTTGATTCCCCCAACCCCAACGGGCCTGGCACGCACTGGGCCCGGCTTCGTAGATGCACCTTCCAGGTTTCCATCGGGTAAAAAGCGTCGAGTCTCGAGATGTCTAAATTAAGTGTACATAGGGCCGGACTGGGCCGGATGCACAAGGGAGATCTCCGACAATCACATACCCTTGCTTCGCAATTAGGATGAGAAGCAGCTTCTTGCTGTCTGCTACAGCTCACCTAGGCAACGCCGAAGATCCTACGGCTTATGATGATACCTCAGATGGGACCATAGGTGTGGCTCGCTATAAGTATTTAGACAACTTCGGACAGCTGCCATCGGCACCGTGTTGTGCGCCCTGCGCTGGCAGCCCCTTTCAGCTGTGCCACCACGGCCGCGTCCACCGCGGCGCCTAGTAGCGGGAAAGGGTTTTGTGGCAAAGGCTTTTGCCGAAGGACTTGACGTGAGATTCACGAACAAGAAATCGTGGCTCTAGATGCCAGACTTCGGGATCGCAGCTGCCAATAGACTACACTCCAACTTCCGACCGTGGAATGGACTGCCTGGAAACCGGAGGAAGCTAGATCCTGACGGGTAGGGAAAAGTGGATGGGGGTAGAAGGGGAACGGACGCAAAACGAGGGGAAGAGCCGCAAGCAAAGAACTTAAAACCTTACGCCACAAATCGCTAAGGCCTATACACCCTCCACAAGCAAAAGCCTCGACCCCCTGAGCCCCATAGACACTGAAAGCCACGGCCTGCGGCGATGACGAAGAAGACACAGCGACACTCCGTGGCCTCCTGCGCTTCGTGCAGGTTCTGAAGGGGCGGGACTTAGTAGGCTATCGTCTCAATTTCTTCCGTGCATCTATAGTGTTCCCACGCTGGCTTCTATTCCGGTTTTAGGATCAAGGGCCTAAGTAAGTAATTTATAGTCAAGGTTGGAAGTACCTGCGTTGGGGTTGCAGCGCTTGTAAGTAACCTGTGACCTACTTACTCAAATCCTAGATTCCTGGACCTTCATGTGCCAAAGCCCCCAAGCCCCGCAATATCTGCCACTGGACTCGGCCAAACCTCTAAACTAAACCATTAGCCCATTCAAAGACCCAACAGCATTGCTTTAAGCGACCACGACGGCACTTCCAAAACCGAGCAACCATGACGCGTACCACTGCCAAGAGCCGCCGCGGT